GCCGATTGCCTCCAACCATCTAATAACAGCAGTTCTGAGTGTACCGTGATGGCGAGCCACCTACCGTGGTAGCCACATTGCAAACCTGACTGATAGAATTCAGTCTGCAGTAAACAAACTACTAGACACATAGCACTAGTTAGGGTCCAATCGTAATTTAACGTAGTCTGTCGTGGAAAGCCCATGGAATAATACAAAAGAATGGGCAGAATACACGAATTTAAAAATTGCTTTAAAAGAGGTTGAGTTTATATTAGAAAGTCTTAGCATCCTTATGTAATACGTCAACCTAAAGATTTTCCTTGAAATTAACAAGAAATGAGATGACCAACAGAGATTTGAAGAGGAACTAATGCCAAGATAGGTAATATTCGACTTATTTCCTATTACAGCTGCATTAGTGAGCATCTGTTTTCGTTATCAACTGGATTAGTGGAAATTATTTACACTATCAACTATTCTTGGTTCATTCAAATGAGATGGTGTAGTGAAACAGAAGGAATTTCTGATTTAGTTAACCAGGACGACAGTTTTCTGTACCTGTTACTTTCTGACCAGGTTGTTTAAAAATGAATTGTACTTTATCAAAAATTAGCCAGCATTTCTCGATAAATAGTATTAGGCTAAACCCTTCCAAATGTTAGACTGTAAATTTCACATTCAGACGTAAACAAGGTCTATATTAACTTGTAGTACCCCTAAACCAACTGTAAACAGGCTTTTCAATCTAATTCGTATACTTGTATATATTTGCACAGACCGATTTTATATGTACTTCGCAAACATTTGTCAATTTACTGTTGAACATTACCTTGACACAATTTCGAATTTGACTACTGCTATAATACACGTTCGTACTCCCCCTCAAGTGCCTTTTGATTTACGTTGTGGACGTCGAGCAAACACAACGTTAGGATACAATAATAAACGAGAAGAAGTACTAGAATATACGTGTACGCAAGTTTAGTCAAATAACGCACGCAACAAACTGGTTCCTTCTCATGATTCTTGTAATATATGGGTATTGAGGTAGAAACTAATTGGGATGTTAACTATCTTGGAATAAATCTTTCCCCTTAGATTCCCTGGTCGTCTTATATCCCATAAATTTCCAGGAAAATACCACTCTACATATGGAAGCTGAAACACTCTGATACAATTCAGTCTGTACTTCGACAATTTGTTAACTCTTGTATTCTTCCCATTCCTTTTTATTGCTTCCCCCTATTATTTTGAAAGTCTTCGTAAAAGTATTTAAAAACTCCTCACGTTCCAAATGTGTTCAGTCCTTACCCTGTTTAAGATTTCGATTGACCCATCACAGTATACCATTAAGCGAATTTTACTGCGAAACTGTATCACTGACTGAATTCCATCCTGTTGTCAAGTTGTTACTCCACACCTAATTGGTCCCGATTCTTCAACTTCTTGAAGGTTTTTATCTCTGATTTCAGCTTTAGTTAGACGCCTTCTTCAAGGAATATGTAATAGATATCTGAATGTAATTGTTGGAAATCCGGCTTTACTAGTTACTTTAATAGGCCAATAAAGGTTGTCGCTTAACTCTGAGACTTTTAAATAAAATAATTCGAAGATGAGGCAGTAACTCATCGAAGAAGACATTGCGAAGTGGTCGCGCTATGTCGTGAATTGGCAGAAGTTAGAATTCAAGAACCATTGGATCGGGTCCCAGTGGCTCAATGGTCTACGAGCTCGCCTTGTAACCGGAAGGTCCTGGGTTCGAACCCCGGTGGGTGCGTACTGATGAGGAGTCCCAAACTAGGACGAAACAGCTGTCCAGTACTCCCAGGTTTTCCAGTGGTTCTCTAACTGATGTCAGCTCATGATTAAATCCTCCATAAAATAATTCGACTTACAGTAGACTATCAATTATATCATTAATTTGGATCTGAATAATACTATCTGGTTGGATAAAATCTAAAGTATAAAGGGAGATCCTTATGTGTTAAAAACCGTATGTATTTGAACAGCGACCTTATAAACTAAGCACTAACTGAAATCTTTCGACAGAATGTCGTACTAGTGTTATGATGTTTATGATGTTATATTTGCAATACATTGAGTTGAATAGGGACGCCGAGCTGATCAAGAATATCGCTTGACTACGCCAACAACACTATACGACAGCTACATCTCCCCCCCCCCCCAGCCCGTGTTACTGAAATGAGAACATACAACGTGGGCTGAAAGATATATTTCTGTATGAGCTATAATATATTTACAAAATGAAACAATGATATATATACGGCTTATGGTATAGGAGTGAGATATTACTACTATTCCCTGGGATCCCGAGTGGAACATAAGGCTTCAACGACACAACTTCACTTTGTTCTATTCTCTGCTGTCCTCTTCAGCTGGGTCCATGATTGCCCATAATCTTTCATCTCCTTCTTGCACGATATTATCTAAGTTACCCTCGCACCTAGGACCCACTCTTTGCTTCCCATTGGGATTCCACTCCAGCAATGTCTTGGTGCACAATGTCATTCGACGGCTTCCTCAGATCCAGGTTATCGAATCAATAAATTTGATACTCATGTGAACAATGCATTATATTCAAACGTCACTAAATAATAAAGTTAATCTTTAGTGATAAGAACAGGAGTTTGATGGGCTTGTATCAACCCTTGCCGTGAATACTTCTGCGAAGATGAGTTCGCAGAAACAGTGAATACCTGTTTTACTAAAGAGTTCTAGTCGCTGAACACTACGCAGAAGAATCGCGAATTCTATTTAAAACAATACATATAAGCGAACAATATTGTTTTCAATTATACACTACCACATAAGAAAAAGGCAAAACAGTGATGTCATACCATCTAAAGTTATTGTTCAACAGTGCAAGTTATTGTCTTATATCTAGGCATTAGTAAAAAGGAAGACCAAAGAATAAAAATAACCATAGACAATAGAAAAAAGACAAAACTTATAAAGAAATGTAATACGAAGATTAAGATGATCACTATGTCTCCATCACTAAGATCGCTGCAGAGATGTCACTTAGTCCTTAACTATATGCTATTGTTTTCAAGTACCATATACAATCAACTGACCAAACTGAGCTTCCATATTTGGTTTAGATGAACAATTAGTCCTCTCTTAAAATGCTACAAGATTTCTAACCTAGCCATTACTTTCAACCTAAGTCTAATTATACGTTGAGGAAGGTGGTGATTAGAAGTGTATATCACATGTCCCAATCGCTCTCTTCATTGGGCTTTCAAATGATTTGATTAAGGTTACACCTAGTCCCTACACTGCCCACATGATAATTCTATCAAGCGCAAAAACATCTACGAAAGTGAATGTGGTTAAATACATGAGATCTCAGCAAATCTACTCTATTGGTCATATTTTATAGCCACAGAGTTGAACAGAGTGCACCGCGTAGCAGGAGTCAACCTTTATTGAATAATCCAACACCACTCCAACATAAATGAAGCCATTTGGTGATAGCTATACGACCCTTATGCTTACATTTTACTCTTACATTGACAGAAAAGCCATAACAACACCGGATATATAAATTGTCCTTAAAGTATTACTGCGATCGGAATTCATTACAGACAATCGTGCAAATTTTTCCCCAGATCTGAAGTTATTTCTAGATGTTTTTCTCGCAGAACTGTGGCCTTTAATACAGCTGAGTCCGATTATTTCTTTTTAGTGAGTAATCTAAATATCTGCCATTTCGGTCTCAGAAATATACCTTACAGTTCAGTAAATCCCGTAGGAATGGAAATATTCCTATCACTAATGAACGTAATAATTGCACTTATATATCAATAACTACTAACAACGGGTCAAATGTAGAAAATGTATCAAATGTTAAGTGTGACCCATCCTCTATTGCTTTCGACATGTACTTCAGATGAAACAATAATTTACAGTTTTATAAAAAATATTTCACAAAAAGTGACAGGAGCCAAACATCTAAGTATATGTCCTATAGATAAGTCTTTCGACTGTAGCCATTCTCAGAGAAAATTTACTCTCTGATTCAATCTACATATCAGTTTAACCTCACCTTTTCATGAGATAAAAGTTAGCTCTATTTCCAGTAGATCTAAGCTTATTGTTAACTGAATAACCTTCAGTCATTTGAAAACTAACGAAAACGGTGATCATTTCTACACAGAATACAATAACAACGCATTCAGGTATATCCAAGCTAGGAAAATACACCACCACGGATGACCAACGAGATAAGCCCGAAAATGAATTGAGCATGAAATTATACTGTAGATAACATATAAATAACCATCGGATCGCTTGTGTAAGAAGAATAAGATATACGAAATTAAAACACTGAGAGAGGTTCTTCACAAACTCACAAAGAAACTTAGGTTTCTTCGACATTGTAGCCACGCATGAATGATGAATGCTAACAGCTCACAGCTTCCTATATACTTGATTCTACAATATAACTTCGGAGAACAATGTACCAGTGTTACGTCACAGAGCTTGATGGGAACATTGCCAAGTTGGCAGAGACATTTAAATCGGTGACAAGGACTTTATAGGTATATTAGCTTGTTATACTAACACTCACAATGCTAACTACCTCTTCCACTGTTGCATAAATTAGGCGAAGGTATCCTACCAAGACTAGATATGATTTTAATGATAAAGTGCCATTGTCTTAATCTCGTTGACGCCGTCCCGTATACATCCACATGTACACAGAATAATAGGGTAATACTACTAAGCGCTACTTCCCAACTTCAGAATTGGAAAAAGTGAAATCTAATCAATAAAACAAGTCATTCTAGAATCGACGCCCCACATAAATTGCTAGGAAAACTCAAGGATCAGAGTGAGACAAGTATTCGTCCTCTCGGAGTATATTTAAACCATAAAAAATCTGTACAAATGAACAATTGTATGAAAAAAATAAATTGGAAAGACAATATAGGGTAATGTACATTTGAAGTATCTCACATCTTTTCTTAATGTTTAACACTGACAACGACACTTCATTTTATATCAGGCAGTAATTCTTCGCTGAAAACTTTAGAAAGTTGTTCATGAAACAAATTTTCCGCTAAATTTTGACAATCTTCGATACTCCAAACCGAATCTTCCTTGTAAAGAACATCATGCAGCATTCGCAAAGTTTCCAACTTAACTTTCGACACGCTTTTAGCATATAGAGTCCTCCATGACGGATCTGAAGTATGTAATGAAAGACTTTTTAAAAAGAAATTTACCCTTTGACTTGATTATATGATTAGCAACTTTTCTTAAATGATTGTCCGCATTATGTAGCAGACTTTCAAGATTGATACTTCTATCTCTGTTTTTCTCTTCTTCCTTTGCAAAATCATCGTTTATGATTGGAGAGTCGAGTACAGATTTCAAAGTGTTCAATAAGCTAAGTGGATTATTTCTGTTAATAAAAACAATGATATTAAAGAACCACATACGCATCATCAACATCATCCTCATTAGACGAATTAACCAAAATGGTGTACTTTTCCCATAAGTTGTTAACTGGATCAGGCCATTCGAACTTTTCAGCCATTTTATGAATGGTGTGTTCATCGACAGGATTCATTCTGGTACAGTTCCTACGAATACAAATGTCTACATCACACTTGAAAACTACTGATGCGTAACTGTATGAATCTGAAAGCATTAGAAAACTTAAAATTACACTTTTTTGCTAAGCTGTAAAATACACGACGCATGCTAGAGTAGTAGAAGTTATCGTCCAGTAGAACTATGATCTTCTCCGCATTTAAAGTAGAATATTCGCTTAGATTCAACCAAATAACCTTTTCCTCTTCACTTAAAACTTGCACAAAATCAGTACTCCTCCAAGAAGCCAAGAGTCTTTCCGTACAGCTAAGAACAGCTTGACGCCAATCTTTCCAGTAATTATTCTAATGGAAATAATCAACTTCAGTTACATTTCATACGTCAGGATTTTGAGAGAATATCTCTGATGGAATAAGTTTGTCATACTCTATCCACATAACAAAACATTCATCCATCTTCAGCTTGCATAAATGACCACACAAAGTGCTTTTTCCACTTCCAGGAAGTCCTATCACTGTCACTAGTGCAACTTTTTTCATGAATGCAACTGAAAGTATTAAAAAAAAATTGAAAGGGAGATTAGGATGTTATTACTACTAATAATTTCCTGTGATAACTAAGACATATAACACGAGTTTTTGCATACCTTTTCTTAATTTTAAAAAACCCATTAGTTAAGACAAACAACTTTTAGGTGATGGGTTACAGGCTTTTATCTCCTCCATTAAAATTTCAGCAAAAGTTCGCAACTGCTATACCTTCGGCAATAAATTCCATTCAAACACATTACGACGCAGTTATATGTAACTTATAGATTGTACTAAATACTCCTTTTATTTAGAGGTGTAGTTAAAACGTTGCTTATCCACTGATTATAAAATTAAAGGTTCACCAGAAATTCTTAACATTTCAAATTCTATATACTATTAGAGACGCTTTTGAGCAGTAGGATATATCAAGTGCACTACCCTTTTGACACGAAACAACTGATGGACAGAAATGAGTCATCTTTCCACTAAATAACTAAGGTGATATACCTCAATTATAGGTTAGGAGCACTACACCCTTTAGTATCGAAAATACCTGAGAGAATCATTACAGACAATGTTCGGTCCTTTTAAAACATTCAAGTTTACCGTTTTCCACACTCATGTATCTAAAGCAACAAAAATTAGTCCATATCGTTCCCTTGATTTAAATAAGTACGTGATGGCATTATATCACCTGAAATGAACATTTAGGATTGGTTCTGAGCCTACCTCCAATGCAGACAGTACTGTACGGAAGTGAGTAAAAGTAAATTCATATGCAGGCCATTCGAATATGATGCCCATTAAACATAAATCTTACGAGGAGTTTTATATTTATCCCGTATTAGCGACCTCCCTAAATTAACTACCCCCCAATTTTTAAATCAAAACAATATTGAAGGTTGTAAATGGAATAAAGAGCTCTAGGAGGCCCAAAAACGTCAGACAACGAATTAAGTACCGGTGCTGAGAATCAGTAGGCAATGTATGCAGCCACATCCAAGTTGAGTGAACGCATCGTCAGTGAAATTCACAAAAACTGATTCTTAAATTCAGAGAAGCCATAAACAATATTAACCTTAGCATGACGACTGCAAAGACCGACAAACGTAGCGAACTCGGGTTATTCACTAATGAACACTGCTTTAATATCTAAGAAACTCACATGTATATAAAGCAGCCTAGTATAACAGCCCACGCTAGCCAGAATAGAGGAATTGCAAATTCGGTAATTATCCAGAATATCTAAGAAACCTTAACTTTCTAACACTTAATTAATGTATTATGACAAGTAATGTAAAAACATTTTATAAGGAAACTCACAAAACACCATCAAAATAATACTTCATTGACTGAGTCAATAACCAACTTAGCAATCTACACAAATTGCATTATTTTTAGCTACTACATAGGAAAACTGTGCATGTATAAAGCAAATAGAAATAAAATGAAACCCCACTGAGAAAAGATATACAGACGTGGAAATATTCAGATAAAGACTGGTGTTCTTACAATGTGTATGATAACGTCAAGTGAGCGCACACCCACACCACTTCATGAACTGTCTTACAAACAACTATCGCCGCGCCTGAGCAGCGATGATTCGAGATGTTCATGAAGCCGGCTCATCCTCCCGTAGGAGATAGCCGAAGTAAAGTAAAGTAAAGTACACCCACACCATAGTGAATAATTTTGAAATATGCTACATACCACCTGAAGAGCCTCATACAAACATTTCTTATATGGCTCAAAACAACAACCAAACTTCATAAATGGCTGGCAGATTACGACTATATCAATCATAACACTTTTTCAACTTAGTTCTACTTCAGCTAACACTTCGAAGTGTTTCCACAAAGCAATCGTAAATCATGTCTTACTCATTTCTTACCGATGGGCCTTCATCCTACCAACAGAATTTCTCTCCCTACTGCACCCCATCAAGCCAGCCTGGCCTTCACAAATTCCAACTAATCTTCGTGGGTCCCTGAGCTTATATTAAGTCGAAACCAATTCTGAAAGCAGCACTCTAGAGTGCTAAAGTGAAGTCAGTCATACTAGGAAAAAGAACTAAGTCCAATTTTGTACGGAAAATCAAATCATTTGCGGATTTACTCACTATAGAAAGTAAGTGCTACTTCAGAATTTGTGAGCTTTAATTTAGTATTTTTGTAAGCCAGGGAATAAAGAATCTAGATTCTAAGTACTATGATAGACAAGCTAATGTACTTATGACTACATTCACAGGATACTACAGAGCGATTTTTACTTCTTTAAAAACCACGACAACAAACGACTGATGGTAATCCCTTGAAACTAATCAGTAGTCAGCTACCTTAACAGAGGTACCGCAAACTTCATTTTGCTACTTCTGCCCAATTTTCAATGCTTTGCTTGAAGACAGAAAGTGGAAGTCGCAAATCTCCAAACTGAATACTTTTCAATAGTCTTTTATCTTTCACAATATTTATAAGCTAAGTTACTATTGTGTATGATGCAAACTCCACCGAAAGTAAGTTCTCTAGGCAATCTTATGAACACAATTCGTTATGTTTATCAAGTCTGGAAGAGAGATAGGTTGTATGAACTGCCAAGTGCCTGCACGAATTATACTACTGTGTGCTAATCTGTCAGAAAATTCACTCTTAGCATGATGTGCACTTGTTACACAACGACAAAAAACACCACTAATCTCACCTGAAGCTTTGTTGTCCCGCTTGCATCATGTTGTCTGTCTTGAGGCTTACTCTGTTTGTCCTCACTTAACCCAATAAAGCCTTATTACATCTGACAAGCGTGCATTGAGCAGTGTCTTGCTAGTGACGTTATTCCTATATAAGTAGGTAGACTCTTCCCACTCGGTCATTTGGGTTTGCTGAATTATGAATAGGTGGTATGATTAGAAGGTAAGCAAGATACAGTGGAGTGCGGCGCACTCCATCCGAAAAGGTGATGTGACAGTACATCCTGAATTGAAACTCTCAAATCTTTAGTCGCTAGATATGGCTCATTAAAACCCTAGTATTGCATTCTAAAAATTTTAACAGTGAAAAAGTCGTTTCTATAGAAGACAGTAAGGCGTCCCTTATGCAGAAATGTGACAACATCCACTAATGGATTGCGAATGTCTCTAGAGGGAGGACCACGTCGATGGGCATGTGAGATAATCTGTGAGGCCCATAGTACATTATTATCACTCAGACGCCGTTGATGATTACAGAAGACATCAGGATGAAACAAGCGGCCAAGTAGGAACTATGTCTTCCTCGTGATGTGTAGGATCTTTCTTCTCCATTGGATGACAAATGCCCTTCTATGTGTTTGAGTAGATTTCCCCTGCTTCACTCGCCCACCATCGGCGCGCTTATGAGAATAAACACTCAAAACCGATTGCTATCTTCGATCACTATTCACGAAGTTGGCCGGTAATTTTGTTTTCGTTTTAATATTTTAGCCAGTTACTGCATCGGTAAGTCCGAAGAGTTCACAATAAGCCATTTATTTCGGTGTAGTTCGCCATAGCTTATATTTTTATGTTTCATTTGCATATATTTTAATGTATTTCATTGCTTATATTCGTACGTTCTTTAAATTTACTTCTTTCATCATCAAATCTGATTTGATGATCATGGGATCTGACTCAAGAAAGCCTTACTTCCATGGAGACAGATGCCTCAGTAACCGTGAAAACTACCATATTCGAATTTGACAGACATGATTCTGAACGGCGATTCATTCAATTTGAGCACTACTTTGACTTGCAGGTATAGGGACGTATGTTCTCAACTATCTTATCCCATTAGCGAAAAGCTGCAGGAGCTTATGCTTCATCCTTCGACAGAGAAATCAGATGCTGTACCTAAGCGCGAATTGTTAAATTGCCTTTCCGCGTCTAAAAGCCCACATTTACAATGATTACTTCTGGGGTAGACTGTTGGAGTTAGAACAACTGGTGGGAGGCATCCCGGTTGGAGAGGATGTAATAAAGCAAGGCTAAATGAAGGCCATTACGAAGTATGTTCAACATACACTAGACGTTCAGGATTTCGACTCATCTCTTAAGCAGTTAACATGCATTGTTGACCAAATAGTGGAGAACAGACATCTCAGGGAAGGAACAAGTGAACTGTGCGAATAAGTATGATGACCCAGTAATCTCAGAGCCCGTAGCCAAAATTAGATCACTAACGAAGTACTAGCACAGCCACGACTAACACAGGGTTATTGAACTAGATCCCTTGGTATACAACTTTTTAGGTAATGAAGCAGATCTAGGCAAACCAGATCAACAGAGAAACCAGTAGCTCTTTTCCAGTTAGTGAATACTGAAAAAAATGGACCCGGGCAGTTGTTTATTATACATCAGGGATATGAACTCTGGCACAGACTTCTTGTTTGATGCGGGGGTTGCATCCAGCATCATATCAAAAGCAAACGAAGAGCAGGGACAAAGAATGTCCTCCGCCACGCTACTAGCTGCTTACAAAACCAAAATCGTGACTTTCGAGCAGAAAACCCTGACACTTGACGTAGGGTTTAAGGGACAATTGCCACGGATTTTTTCTGTTACTGACCTGGACCTAGCAATTATTGGCATAGACTTCCCAGAATAGTATAACTTGCCAGTGGATACTCGGACGAGACGGCTAATATTGAAAGAAACGTGCAGATATGCGAATAGTGAGGTGAGCGATCACCATTCACCAAACCTAGTTCAGTCTCCACCAGTATCAACCGAAGGGTTCCGGAAAATACTGGTGGGATTTCCTACTCTATTGGCAACTATATATCAAACTTCCTAGGTTGGTCCAAAGGCTACACATACCATTAGGACGAATGGTCCTCTTGTTTTCGCCAAGCCAAGGAGGTTAGCTCTAGTCAAGTTAAAGACGGCAAAAGTAGGGCTCAACTACATGCCTCATTTGGGGATCATTTGACCCTCAAGAAGTCAGTTGGCTTCACCACTGCATATGGTACTCAGGAAGAATCAAACTGACTGGCGACCCTGTGGCAATTACAGGGCTATGAAGAAACAAACGGTACCAAACAGATCCCCAAAGCTCCATATTGAGGGCTCCGCGGCGCCACAGTACTTTCTAAAATAGTTCGTGCCTACCATAACAACCCACTGGCTGAGGAAGATATGAAACGACAGAAGACAAGAGTCAGGCTACAGATCGCTTGTTGAGAAACTCAACAGATATATACAGATTTTTATGTACAGTATTTGTCAATGGAGTTGAAGATTGAACGATCAATTCTTGGTTGTTTGCTCAAAATCAACTTCCCCGATTTTCGCGGAGGCATCAATACGACAGTCATCGTCTCATCGGTCGCTGTTCAGAAAGAAGATTGAAACATCGTCAGAAGTAATACAGAGATTTATTATTGTAATATTTGTTTTCAGACCTTAGTTCTTAGTTCGCTTATTCCTTTTATATGTTGGTGTAACAATACAGAAATATCAAACGGCAGATCGGTGTTTTGGTTTTTGCGTCCGTTATAACTAAGCGTTTCTGGAAATCTTCTAAGAACAGCGTGGGCCCGAGCGTAGCGAGAGCTGGGCATTAACGGTTTATGAGATTTGGCTGACAGTTTCTGACGATAGAAACAGATCTGGCG